AGGGTAGTCCCACATATAACATATTGCAGTAGTTTCTTCCCAAGATACCAGGGTATTGATTACTGAAGTGAGACCATCACCATCCAAGTAGAACTGTAGCTGGTGCATCACCCTGGGCTAGTTAAAGGTTCTTCATACCACAGAGACTCTTGTGCCTGTAATATCAATAAGGGGTTTAGATGCAGCCCTAAGCTATGAACTTGATCATTTAGGGGAAGTGCAATCCCACTCAGATCAAGTTTAGCAACAGCCACCTGAACAAATAAATATTCATTAGTGGCTACTCTATCTTGTCTGGATTGGGCCTCAGTTTGTTGGCTTTCATCCAGTCCATTACTGTAGCCAGGCACTATTTTAGCAATGTCACTCCCTACACCCAATGAAACAGAGAGATAGACCTGGATGTCATAAATATAGTGTGACAAACTCCTAATTTTGGTATGGCACCCTGAACATCTATTTCATATTGACAGACCCAAATAAATGGAATCCAACTTTTGTTTCCAAAAAGAGCCTCAACCATATAATCCTATCTATCCAAAGACAGAAATTTTGAAAACTAGATCATGCCTTTACAAATCCATAAAGAGTTTTTAGGAAGATGGCGTCAATTCCTAAATAATTTCTTATTTGCTGACTAGACTCAGGGCATCAGAAATGGAACATTGTCCTTGCCTGGGCAAAACAACAATCAGTTTGGCTTTCACTTATATCCCATTTTCTCTAAGAGTGGGGAGAAGCACTCAAGAAAAAGCTAGCAGAGAAAAGAGAAGAAGGAACAAGAACAGTCCCCCCTATGAACATCCAAGCAGGAGGCCTAGATAATCCTTTTCCAACTGTCCTGTCTGTAACAGGAAGTTAAAAGCTTATTCAAGAAGATAATAAGTAAGTAGTTTAGCAAGGTTAACTGTATTGATTTTATGTTGAATTCTGTGTGTATGATTGTTGCCTTCTCTTGTTTGCCCTGTATTCCCCTTCCTCAATAAACTCCTTTTTATATCCAGAGATTTGGCTTAATGGTTTTATAACAGTTTCTCATTAAAACCTTTCCCACATATAAGATTGCACTGATACATAGCTACTATTTGCACTTCAAGATTAACACAGGGTTGGACCTATTCATGGATGTCATGGGGATCTGGATATTAGCTTTGATGGCAGTGTGAAGGCCAAATTCTGGGAGACTAGTGGGCTTCCTTGTGTGGTTGGTTGATCACTGTGAGAACAGACTGCTGGATTAGATGGGCCAAGGGTCTCATCCAGCAGGGGACTGCTTATGTTCTTATGACACAAGACTTCAATTTTGCAGTTCTAGGCTTTGAAAGCACCTTCAGGTCTGCTGAAGAGAAGTCCTGGGTAGAAGGGATAAGAAATTCCCAGCTGGACAGATGGTGCCTGGCTGGTGGCAGCCTATCATAATTATTGGAAACTTTGGAGAAAGGAAGCTACTAGGATAGTTTTGAAATATCCTCCTCCTTCATGTATAATACTTACTGAATAACTTTACATCTCAGAATGACCTTAGACAATTTCATGTAGATGTTGAATAACACAGGGATAAAACAGAGCCTTATGGACGTCAAAAGTAGAAGCACCATGGGGGTCAAGGAGGAATTCCAAGCATCAGCTTCTTGTAATGGAGGTAATTAGTGGAATTATTCTGAGGCCATTCCACCTAATTTGGAAAATTGCTGCAGGAGGATACAATGTTCAGTAGTATCAAAAGCCACTGATAGTCCAGAAGAATCAATCTCTCCCTGTCTCTTTCAAGGCAAAAGAGTGGCCAAGTCAGTTTTAGTGCCAAAACCAGGCCCGAACCTGATTTCAATGGATCTAGAAAATCGGTTCCATCCAAGAATGTCTGGATCTGATCAGCCATTGCATGCTTGAGCACCTTGCGCAAGGAATATCGGCCTTCCCCATGTGTGTAGGACTAGGAATTATGGGTTTTCCTGAAACCTGAAAGCCAGAGAATGGAAATTATAGGCTTAGGACTTAATTCATTACTATATTCTTCCTGTAAAAGCACCTGCTTTCTAGAAAGGGCTTTCGCAGAGGAAAGCACACGTGGATTCTTGACCCAAAGTCTTGCCCACCCCACTTGATTTGAAACTTATTAAAATACATTCATTGAACCAACAGATAGCCAGTGGTCCACTTCCATCCTGCCCCTCTTCTAGCATGCTACTCCCTAGACCTATATGAAAATTAAGAAGTTGCTTGATGCTGTAATCTAGAATTGGGCATACATAATTCCAATTCCTATCTGACTTTATGTCAGATAGGAAGACCAATAGAATCTTTACAGACTACAAGGTCTTGGTGAAGAATGGTGAAGGAACTGGAAGAACAGGTAGTTTTTTCATCAAGACTTTCAGCTGAGACACATGGTGTAAAAATGGAAAACGGGATCCTGGAAATCCACTAGCTAAGCAAATGGTATTCCTGAGAAGTGTTTGGACAATGACAATGGCCTGTGTTACATTCATGAAAGACTCCTGGGTACATCTTACAAAAGCTGGGAAGGAAATGTTTGGCAGATATCTCACCAATCTTATCAGGAGAGTGTTAAATAGAGAAAAAGGAGGAGGATGGCAAAAGCCCAGAATCAAAATTTAATTCAAAAGGAATAGACCCAAGTGGTGTCTTTACATTATTTGAACAGAAAAATATACTTGCAAGAAATCAGAACATTGGAATCTTGCTGAAAGTATCTGTGTAAGAATAAAAGGAGTATGTTAAGTGAAAGTGATATTATCATGGGAATTTAGCATAGATTCCCTGCCCATAATTTGGGCAGGTGAAAGATACTGATAAAGTTTTTTTGCATCAGATGATCAGAATTTCAAAGAGGCATGCAATAGTCATAACAGAAGATATCAATTATCCTGATGTCTGTTGAGAGTTAAAATCTGCCAAGAGACAGAGATCTAATGAATTCTTGTCCTCTCTTGCTGATAATTTCAACTGTCACAAAGTGGAAGAAAGAATAAGCCTGATGTAATCTTCACCAAGAGAGAGGAACTGTTTGAAGAAGTGTAGGTAACTGGCACCCTGAGGGAAAGTGGATGTGTTATCCTGGAATTTGTGATATCCAGAGAAGGAAGATCTGAGAAGAGTCAGATCAGCATACTGGACTTCAGAAAAGTGGATTTTGATGAACTCCAAAGGAAGGTAGGTCAGATCCAACGTCTTAAAGTCTTGAAGGATAAAAATATCCAGAAAGAATGGGAAAAATGAGACAATGAAGGTGAAATTGCAATCCCCACAAGAAGGAAAAATGGGGGAAATAGAAAAAGACCAGGGCAGATACACGAGGAATTCTTTAAAATGCTGGAAGAGAAAAAAGAGTATGTACAGGAAATGGAAGGATGGAAACATAACCAAAGTAGTGTACAAGAACTGTACAATCTCTGACAGAAAAGCTGAAGGCTTCTAACAAAAAGATCAGAAATGGTCTAGTGGCTCATGCCCTGAGTTGGACTAGATGCTCCCTACAATCAATTCCAGCTGTATGATTCCATTTAAAGAATATATGTGATAATCCATATCTCTCATTTATTAGCCTACACTGGAGCAAACAAGTTCTTTGTATTCCAACATGACATCAGAAGCCTGCTTCTTCTTCAGCACCTCATTCACCAAGGTTTCCACAAGCAAATCTATCTAAGGGACAAAAATATAAAGAATGTAACTGATTACTGAATAATCCATGGTGGTAGCATACTGAGTGCTAATTACTTCATGATCATTCTACTTCCATCAACTGGCCAAAAGAAATATATACACTAGCATCACACTAATGAAATGCCTATACTATCTCTATGTTAATTAAAAAGAATCCTGAAAATGAGCACATGTAACACTTGGGACTGTTTTCAAATAGGCAGAAGATTAAGCATGCTTGGCATTTCAAAAGGATTGTTTGTGGATGCACAGGTTGCTGATACATTCCTTCCACCTGTTGCTGTGGGGAGTCAGCCAATAAAAATGTTAAGAGGCATCAGGCTAAACAAATGAAAATTAAATCCAAGACGCTGCATCCCAGATTATGTGCCTTATTTGCAAAACTCCAGTACTCTTAAACCCCAGTTGCAGATGCAGATTGCAAATAAAGGCACATATCTCAATGGCTAGATTTATACTTCACTTTAAGCTATAATATAGTTAATAGTTTAATTATAATAATAACCATATAGTTAATATGGTTCATGGAGAAAATCTATTTATGTGGTCGCTAGGAGTCAAAAATGACTTGATGGTAGATAATCAATGAATCAATAGTTAATTTGGTTTTGACACAGTCAGATGTGTGAACACAGCCAATGTGGTTTATAAACCATTGAATCAGCCATTATAGTTAAACTATTATATTGAATCATGGTTTATGAAAATGTGTGAACTCAGTTTACCTTCTAGGGCTGGCTTAAATTCTTACTATCCTGATCTTCTGATGTGGCCAGTCAATATCTTTTTTTCTGCCCCATGGTAGCTGTTGTGATTCCTCTTCCTATTGGAAAGCAATTGAGTAGCCTTTAGTATTATTATAGGTAACAGTTAAGGGTCCGTAATCTTAGCATCTTTACTCAATAGTGATAGAAATTATTCTTATTTGAATATTAACTACTTTAATATTTTTTTGTCTACTTTGGGAGTGCTTTGGATGTAAAGTGTCACCTAAACAAAACTATTCATGTTTGGTTGTAACTTGCACCTAGGTTACCAGAACAGTAAATGCATCTACTATCTCTGTGTTAATTAAACATTGTCCAGAAAACTTCTAAACTTACATGTATTTTTTTTTCTTCTGCCCATTTCTTCATTGGTCTCCTTCCCATTCCCCCTCTTTCCAACACCTCCCTCCTTTATTGTGGCCAGATTTACTCCATAGCAGGCAGAGAATCTGGAAATGTCTTTGATCAAATGACACAAGAAAAGACACAAATGCAAAGGGAATGCTTCTGTAGAAAGGCACAGTATGAAGTATCCTTGGTGGTATGATAATTTTACATTTATTTACAGTTTATATTTATATTTACTTTTCATGTGTAATACAGTTTAGTTTCCTTTTCCCCTGGGACCTATTTGCTTCTTTTATTTGTGATTGTCTCTCTTTAAAATAGAAGATAACTATTTAATCAAATACATAGTTTTTTTCAAATATTTTTTTTTCCAGAAAAAAATACCTGCGTGAATTAAACAGCAAGGAACGTATAGCCACATAGTATTAATCAAAGTTTTCTACAGTAAAGTCAGTGAACATGATTTTTTTAGACAAGGGATTGGTTCCTGAGAACTTTGAGCAAAAGGAAGGTTGCAAAAGGTAAGGTTGCACCTCCTCTTCTCACTGTCTCTTCCTTCATTGACTAATAACTTCTCTGAAGGGTAGGAGAAGCATGAAATGGGATGAAACTCTGCCTCTGCCTGAAGTAGGACAATCTCCCTTCCCACCGCAGTTCCACTCACACACACCATCCCCTCCAGCCATAAAAGGGATGTTGGGAACAAAAATAAGGCTGAGAAAATGACTGGCTCCAAATCACCCATTTGGGTGCATTTGTATCAGAGGGTGGATTTGAACCAGGTGTCCCCATTCCTATTTCAAATCCTCAATCATGATGCTACATGGATTCTGTGGTGGCAAATGCCTTTCTGCTAGCTTCTTTCTGCTCGTGTTTCTCAGGTCCATCCCACAGCCTTCAGTTTGCAAAATTTTTCCTCATTAAAATCAACTGACCAAATTCTGAATTTCAGAATATTTTCCAGGGTTTTCCTTAACTGTGTGGGTATATACTGTACAAAAAGGACAGAGGTCTATTATTTACTGCTATTAGTCATAGTAAATGGGATTACTTGTATTAAATATGTAGCTTTTCCTGAATAATTCTAAAAAATGCAAAAGTCTCACTGAAGCAACTCCTGAAGAAGGCAATAGATCTATCACCCAACTGGTCCAATTCACGTCCTTAAGTAAATCAGCTGTTACAAGGGCTTAGACATGCTGAGAGCATGTGACCCTTAGCTTCTAGCATTCCACATCATGCCTGCTATGGCTGTTGGGAACTGGGGCTCACTGGACAGGATCCTGATCTATTCTGAACTGCTGCTGAGACCCTCCATTAGGCAATACAGGTGGTCCTCATTTAATGACCACTTCTTCAGTGAATGTTCAAACTTACAATGGTGCTGACCAAGTGGTAGTTATAACCAGTCCTCAGAGTTCCAGCCATCACAATGTCCATGCAGTCATGTGGTTATGATCTAGGCACTTGGCATCCTTCTTGCAATTATGACATCGCAGTAAGCCAGAATCACATGATTGCGATTTCCAACGTACTCTTCCGACTTCCCATAAACAAAGTCAGTGGGGAAGCCGGCAGGAAATTGGAAGTCACGGTCACATGAGGTCCTTGCTTAACAACCCGTGTAGTTGTCACTTAACAACGGCAGCTGGGACTGCCGGAGCTGCTGTCACTACATCACTTTGCGCTTTATGATCACATTGCTTAGCAATGGCAATTCCAATCCCAACAGCCATCATTAAACAAGGACTACTACACTTAATATAGTATTGTCAACATAATAATTTTTAAAAGTCTCCCATATACCATCCCTTTGGCTCATTTACAATTGAAAAGCAAAATCTGGTGCAATGCAGCTAAAACATCCTCAGATTCATTCGCAGACGTGAAAAGTTTTAGTCAATAATACATGCAGTAGAATCAAAGGTGCAGATTCTCCAGAGTTGAATTATATTAGGTAGCAAATGGAAAACTTCTAGAATAACATTTAATTTCAATTTTCAGATTTTGATGGATGCTCAGATAGTCTCTAAACATTGTCTGATGCCTGTATTAAAAATTGAGTAATACCTCACTTCAATAATTTGTAGAATCATAGTATATTAGAGCTGCAAGGAACCCCCAAAATCATCTACATACATTACTGTTCAAAGGAGAATACATCTGGAGCCTCTCTGCTTAAATACTTCCAGAGATAATTGAAGTATTTCAGTGCTCAACATCTCCAGAGATAATTAATTCCCCTGTCATAACATTAGGAAGTTTTTCTTGATGTTTAGCCAAAAATGGTTTCTCTCCCATCCCCACCCATTTTTGGTAGTCCTGACTTTTTGAACTACTGAATATAAATCTGCTCCATGTTCTATGTGATAGCTGTTGAGATCTTTGACAGTTTTCTATACTATCTACTCTTAATTTTCCTTTTGTCTGGGCTAAACATTTGATACCTTCTGCGGTAACAGTTGATGACTGACATGCAATGGTGTTTAATAGCAGAAAGTACTGATCACTGGTCACTTGTAGGAATATTGTTTATCACATCAAAAAACACAGAGTGTTTTCTGCAAGTTAAAGGGATTCTGGGTCATGCTGTAGAATATATCAGCTGTTGACAAGGGCAGTGATAGGTGTCATTGTTGTCTACTGAAAATTGAAAGTGTACCTTAAAGCTGCCTCCCAACGTTCCCCTTCTGACTAGGTTCTGCAAGAGTGCTCAGTAAAGATGGGCTAGCTGGTGTTCTTCTCACAAAGACACTGTCTGCATTCTCTATAAACTCTGCTGTATTATATTTGCCAACAGTTGATGAGTGACAGCACAAAGTTATACTGACAATCTTGAGGAGCTGATCTTTCACAATGGAACGTTGGTAAAAAATTTGAATGATGCCACTAGAAAAAATGGAATATCTGTAAAAGTCCATTTTAGTTTCAGAAGTTATTGCTTCCTCCTCAAATATAGTTTTTGGTATTATGTTGGGCTCCCCTAATCTTTCTCCATGACTAGTCATAACATAACTGCAAGTTCATGTAATGATGGGTGTATAAAGATTTGAATTGCTCGTTGTGGTTTGAATGGTCAGTCCAAGAAAAACTGACAGTGTTATTCTGCTCTATGTGTAGTTTGGCTCAGAAGGTTCCACCATATTCATTTGACCTATGCTCCACTGCCTTTACAATAGGAGACAGTCTTTTCCTCTTATTCCTGTTCTTTGTAAGTGTAGTCTGTTGCTCAGTTTGTAGGCTTTGTTAATCTGTGGAACCCATCACTTTAATAAACATAATGGTAGAACCTTGGATGGGAACTATAATTTAGCTTAAAGGTAGAAAACCTAGTGCTCTCCAAATATTTTGAATTACTAATTTGCCTGGGCCAGACAGGAGTAGAACTTCAAACATCTTGAAGGTTCCAAATTACTTATCATGACTTAGACTATAGCCAGCTTTCTATTACCTTGTGTATCAATAAACATTTACCCTGCACATGTACATATACTCATTTTTACACATACAGTATATTACGTATTTATGCCCAGACTCACATGCACCCATATAGCTTTGCCTCATTTTCTTAAGTAGATATACACCAAAGCCATCCTAGCCAAACATTTTAGTACAGTCTGTAGACAGCTGGATCTCTGTAGCTCATGCAGTAGATGGCTGGGTAAAACTCCTTTGACTGGAGCTTTTGAGACTCAGAACAAATGTGGATGAGTTGCTTTTCTTGCTGACGCTCAGATCACATCCTTGCCGAGCTTTTAAGTACCGTGAAGAACAACAAAGGAACCGGTGCAAGAGGTCATGGAAAAGATGGCCTGTGAAAAGCATGTAGATCCAGGGGTTACAACAGCTGTTCAGACTTGCTAGGAGTGTGGTGATTATGAACGGCAGCTCTATGAGAGAAAAATGTATTAGAAAGAGTTAAATTAAATTGTTTCACTGTTTTTACTGCTTTTTGATTATTTTATTTACTGGTTTTATTGTTGTTGTGAGCCACCCAGAGTTGCTCAAGATGGACGCCATATGAATCTTTTAAATATTTATTTTAAATAAATAAATAAATAAATACTACTGTAAAGTTGATATACAGGTTGGCTTTACTGCTAGACAGTGGTAGCAAATTTTAATAACTTTAAGAAGGAAAATTGTACTATTCAAAATAATTGTTTTATCTTTTCCACAAATGAGTGTGTTACGAAATTTTTTTGGCTCAGGCACCAAAGTATCTTGGGCCTTCTGTGTTTTATGGGGAAAAAATCAGTGTGTTTTTGGGGAGCTTAGATAACTTAGAGAATTAAAAAAGGGATCCGTTCAAAGATTGGCCACAATTTCACTCTTGTTTCCATTTTTATTACATCTTCCAAATTTGTCTGTTTTATATACTGTATATACACTGTTCCTACGGCTCAGAGTAAATGAGCAAGCCAGCTTGTCACTTTTTTGGCATGGATTTCTAGATGTTCTGCTCATCAAAATTACTTTTTTTTTACTTTAACATTTAGAATATATAAACAACCTCCAGTTAAATCTGAATTAGCCTGAATTGGGCCAGTTAGATCTAAGCCTATACTTTAGGGATGGGAAAGCTGTGGTCCTGATATTACATCTCCCAGCTTCCCTCACTGTTAGTCCAGTAGATTAGGAATCATAGGAGTTGTCATCTCAACACATCTGGGAAAGTTTGTTGTAGAGCCTGAAACAGAAACCTGGGTCTTCATAAATCTACTTTAGGCTATGACAAATACCATTCCCTCAGCATTAGTACATTAAAAATATGTAGGGCAGCAGCATGGCTACATTTTACTGCAAAGGTGTTTATAGTATCTCAGGGGTTTAGGATTTGTACAATAAATGTGGAACATCATTAAAAAGCAATTACAGGATGAATGCTTGCCACTATTTCATGTTTAAAGAAATAAGACTTCCTGGAAACTTTGTTATCTGTACTGCAGATGAAAATAACCAAAAGAGAGAAAGTATTTTTCCACGCATTAGCTGCTCTTCAAATTCATCAACCATTTTTGCCAATTCAGCAATGAATAGTGTTTTCATGAAGGCTGATGTTCCAGTCCATCAGTATTTAAAAACCATAATAAACAAAACTTATATCAATACAAAGAATTTCTGTCTTTCAAATGGCATATAAAATTATACATCATGGACACCCTCCTTCTATCCAGTTCCTGCTTCAGATAATCCATTAGGTTGAATAAGGCAGTATCTATTAATTGCTTCAGAGTCAGTTGGAAACAGATTTAGGCAAACCATCTCATCCAGATACGTGGATATGCTGGAATACTGGGGCCTTGATTTGATAAGCTGGCCTGTGAGAAACTATCATTATATATTGCTGTTAAAGTAGATGAGGTATATTACTTCCCCCCAAACTCTATTTTCAGATACTAGCACCTTAACAATATGCCAATATTGTCAACAGAATGGCCCATTTGGGGGTGGGAGGACCTGTAAGAGTGGGAGTTAAAAGTGGTTGTTCCTCCTACTTCCATTCTTACCCTTAAATCTTTCTCTCACAGGCCAAATATATTGGCTGGGGAAAAAAAATCAGCGATGGCCCTTCCAGGGATGTGGCAGCATGACCAAATAGTCTTCGAATAGCTCTTTGAAAGTTAAAAGATTGAGTTGCAACCCCTGAACCCCAACATTGCCCAGCTTTTTCTAACATTTGATTATCACACTACAACCATGGTCCTCTTCTCCTTAAATATGTCATCCAAAGGAGTGTGTTAAACTAATTTGCAACTTCCTCTATGAAGTGTAAAAAAGACTCACTGCAAACAGTGTTTTAATTATTGCTGTGTAACTAGTAAAATGACTGTCCCATTAAATTGGCTATTTGTACATTTGTCCAAACACCAACTGTTGATAAATAACTCCAAAGTTCGTGCTCTGTCTTTTTATGATTTTTTTAAATCTTTAAGCGAGTTTTGCTCCAGACAACCCTTCAAGAATAGGACTGCTTTTTGTAAAGGAGATAGATTGTCATCCTTGGAGAATGGGACAGAGAGAGAGTTAAAGGGAATATGCCCTCTGCTTCTCAATCTTCTCTGGTGGCCATATGAGACAGATGTACTGTAAAGAGTCTCCCACACTTTGTTTCCACAGTGCTCTTGGTGGATTACAAGACAGATAAATCTATTGAATCCCAAGTCATATTTTCTTCCTCCTGCCAAAAACCTCCTCAGCTTGATGGCAGCCCTGTATGAAGTCATACTTTCCATCAATTCTACTTTTTTCACTCAATCAGGGTTTCCTTTTGAGGGCATGTTTGCCTTATAATATTTTTACTTCTGCATATATTTCCCCCCAGGGACGCAATCCTTTTCTGCCACCTCGTCCTCTGCCTTTCGGTGCTGAAGCTGCCTCCTTCTCTCCATCCCTTGCTTCATATTAAGTGCCCGCAACTGATGCCTGCCTTTGGACTTGGAAGTAGCATAACCCCAATCTTCCTTTTCTCCCCATCCAGTGACAATCATGCCCAAGAGGCTTCCTCATTATGCCCAGCCTTATCCTTGTGCTTGTTTTCTAGTCCCCAAGGGCTGTGGCATTAGAGGGTTGTTCTGGAATTCACTCAACAGATAGAGGGAGAAGCAGCTAATAATATTGCAGTGATCAATAAGAGGTAAGGATTCTAATGTTCATTGTCCTATGACCCACTAGAAATAGATACTACACAAAAGGCTTGTGGCTTTTCCTTGAACTGGCAATAATAATTAACTTGTTCAATATAACTGAGTTATGTAACTTTGAAAAAATAGCATAATATCCTGGCAAATACAATGTTATTGGGCTGAGCCAGATTCATATCCGGCTACCTCTGTATACAAAGATTTACAAAGGTTTTGTAACAAGAGTAGCAAGCCATATTTACAGTTCCTGAAATGTTTGCCTTTTTAACAAAAAATATGGTGGCAAGTAAGTAATTATATAATCAGAACTTTAACAAGAAATAATGATCATGCTAGAGATACAGACTAATGCAATTTCTTTCCAGCATGAACCAACGGGAAAAGAAACCTTGAAAACCTTTCATTCATCATGGAAATACCTTGCATTTGCTCCCCTAAACATGCTTACTCTGAAATGCTTCATTTTTCTCATCAGCTTTCCTTAAGACTGAGTCATTAAGGTGACCTTTGCATAAGCTAATCACAGAATAAGAAATTTCTCTGAAATCTACTCTTTGCTGTGAAACATGGCATTATTAGTTTTAAAAAAGAAAAACAAAACCTAATTTACAAAAGAAATCTAATTGATTACTGTTCAGTATTAGCATTGATTCATGATCACACATTGAAATTCTAATGTTCAAATAATCCATTGAGGCTCTTAGGTAACACATCTAGGTTCTACTTCTGAATTCTAATTGGAACATTTTAGGCCTCCTTTCAGTATTTTGAACTTGTGAAAAGTAAGAGGAGAAGTCTATTTCTCAGCCATTCCACTGGGCTTTGCATACAAGTGGTTTAGCATATTTACATCACATAAATGGTACTCTTTATTGTTTTTGCTGCAGCAGATTAACACAGCCTCTCCTCTGGAAGTTAGCACTAAGTAATTATTTAAAGTCAGCCTTTCCAAACCTGCTGCTGTCCAGACCATAAGTCCCAGAATTCACAACCAGAACAGCCATGCTGGCAATAAATCTGGGAGTGGTCTCAATACACTTGGAAAGCCCCAAGGTGGGGAAGACTATTCAAAGTGTTCAAAACCTTGCACGAGATTCATCCAACAGAGGTCAGGTGTAGACAGACTGAAGGAAAATCTATTGCTTTGGGCTGTATTGTTTGGCTGGGCATCACCCTGATATGCTTACCCAGGAACCAAAGCAAACTGGGGCTAGGCATGCTCAATGGGCTGTTGTTTATAAGTCACCCCGAAATCCAGCCATTTATTAATAAAATGTATGTGGAAAATGACTAAGAAGTCTACAGTTGAAGAGGTTACGTTTAAAGAAAAAAGAAATTCTATAGGAAAAAAATATTAATTCGTTTTTGCTCTACAGTCACAGGGAGTTTAAAAACATGAACTCTATTTAAGTTCAGGTCCTGTCTGGATTTTTTAATGGATATATACTTATACAATACTGTTCTTGCTGCTCCAACAGATATGTGTTTCCAAGTTTCTAAGCAAAGAACAGTTTATGTTTATTATGAAAGAACTGAACTAACAGTTGTGAGTGACAAAAGTATTTCAAGATAGGAAGACTTACTTAATGGAAATCTTCCAGTGTCCATATAGATGAGCCATTATTGTTCTTTGTTTAGATTAATGTAGAAAGCTAAAAAGTAGGCAGTGTTGGCCCTATCATTAGGCAGAGTGAGGTAGCTATCTAAGGCAACAGATCCTGGGAGGCAGACAGTGAAAGTGAGGATGCAAGCAGCCTACTCTGTGTTCCTTAAATTGGCCAACTATCCTCAAGTGCTGTAGAGGTAACCAGCACAGAACTAAAATTGAACTACTAATATAGTCATCTTCTGAACATCGAATGGGAATGTGTGAGGCCTTCATCTAAGGCAACAACCCATCTTGAGAGAGCCATTGGCTAACTCAAGTCACTGGATTTCCTAGGTGGTCTAACACCCCTTAGACACAATTGGAGATAGTGTTCACAAAGTTTTTTTATGAAGCTGGCTGGACAACTATTAATCAGAAAATCATAAGATGACATTACTCATCATCATGACAACTCCCACATTTCTTTCTCCATCGTATCATCAATGGTCTGTTACTTAGATTTTTACTCACAAATTTTAGCTACAATATTAAAAGTAATTATCTTCACATTCTCCTTTAATAATAATAAATAGAGTAATTATATAGTAGCAGCTAAGAGCAGCAACTAACTTGAAATCTTCCATATCATTTTCAGCCT